TTGAATATGCTCTGTCACTGACCTGTATTTATGTTTGCGTTGTCACACAACTTTGCATTATAAAATAGTTAACTGCTTTAGTGCAGCAGGTCAGGAATTACCGTGTCCCTCGCAGCTAACATATGAGCCAGAATGAGATCATTATTTTATTGTGTTGGAGTTGTCAGCTAACAGCCTGTTTGGCAACACAATCAAAGTGATTAAAGCAGGAAACAACAGAACAGAGGACTGAACAACTGAGCCCAAACTCAGTAGAGTACCTGGTAGATCTAAAGCTCCACCTGATGATGTCTGCAAAAGGAAAGGAAAGGAAGAGGACAGGGGACAAAATCAACACGCTATTCCAGCCAAACAAGAACACATTCCAAAGTTCAACTAGGGATCATATGATTTTGATTTACGCAACCCCGCAGTTAGCATGTGTTGAAGCATTGTTTCAGTCATTTATTTGTTTTCAGCTGTTTCTCAAGCCACAGCAGGTGGTTGTTTTGGGGGAAAGAAAGGTCCTGTTCAGCACAACCCTGCAAATATTTGCACATATGCTGGGAAACATGGCTGAGCAATTAGCTCAGGAGCCCAAATCTTCCCTGCGGAGTTGGATGAGACCAAAGCAAAGCTAAAAGGAGAGCGACTACTGCACCAAATAAATGATAAAGTTGCTCCAAGTCTGCTAAATGTGTAAATGAAAAATTTGTTGTCAACAGGTTCATCATAATAAATGTATGAAAGAAAGTCACTTTTGGCTTTTCCTGTTTAGGGGTCGCCACAGCGAATTGTCACACTGATGACTCGCATGTTGACACTTGGTACGTGTTTTACACTGGATGCCCTTCCTGACACAACCCTGATTTGAACCCGAGCCACAGCGACAAGAGCACTGCGCCTTAACCACTAGCCTACCAGGGATGGCATCATAATAAATGCATAAGGTGATAAAATATCAGTCTGGTTTTACAGCTTGTGTGCTGTTTATTTTATTACATACTCTGTACTTTGCTTTTATGTGTACTACTTATAGTATAAGCTAAACAGCAGAGGACCTGTGCTGCTTCCTTTCTGCTTTTTCTTGTGTTTTGTTTACATCCTTGATGCTATATTTGTGCCAAATCACCACCTTCTTTGTTTTATGTTGTGAGTCATATGTTTGCTGGGTTTGGCTCTATTTTTAGAGCAAATAAATGTTTATGCTATGTTTCCAATACAGAAAACAAAGGTAGGTGTATTAGTGCATATGTATTCTAGTGGGCATCGGGGTTAGGGGGTGGAGGGGTACTTCCTGATTATGAACAGTGAGTGTGATTTGATTATAACTGAATTATGTTAGTGTTTGTTGTACATTTCTAAGGCAATTGGGGTTTTTTGATAAGAACAGATCAGTCATTCAGACATACACTCATTCATGAACATAAGCGTGCACCCACACATAAACACACACACACAACAAAGTACAGAAGTTCCTCAGTCAATAAAAAATGAAGTATAATGATTTTAATGCTTTAATTGCTCAGTCCATGTAAGAATATATTTCTCTACAGCCAGAAACACTGGAAGCTACAAACTGAGTGAGTGTCTTTCAGATGAATCACAGCGTGGCCAAGGATTAGTCCACCGTTTGAGTCACAGCGTCAGCATGATGTCACCCTTCTTTTGATGTGACTTTTACCACCTCAAACTGTAAACTGTAAAGACCTTCTGGCAATAAAGTGTTACTTACTTGCACATACCTGGGTGACTCTCTCCCTCTGTCTTTCTTTTAGTCTCTGCCTTTGAATTCAGTTTTCAGTTTCTGTGACTTTATTGTAGTTAAGATAAAAAATAAATCTTCTGATGCCTGTCATTATGTGGTCAAGCATTTTGATCTGCCTTTCCTCTCCTTCTCCCTCATTACCTTTTCTCCACAGTGACCCCCCGCCCCCCCAATACAAGTTACTCATCTTGCCACAGACAGTCTTATCAGTCTTTGTGGCATTTTATAACCTAACCTACATCCCCCACCTCACCCTCCCAGCCCTACTTGTCCTCTCCCTTGTCATTCTCTGACTCCTCCCTTCACTCTCTGCAAGTAACCCAGTTTTACCCAATCACAGCCAAAGATTAAGAGTATGTTGTTGATTTGTAGAACCTCCTACACCCTGTCAACAAATCATGAGAAAAACAAAAAGAAAAAATCTCAATCTGCATTTGTGAGGAGGTTAGGTGATTACTGGATTATTGATTTTTTTTTTATCAAAGAACAAAGCAAGTTCAATTAATTTCATCTCATTGCAGTTTATTTTGTGCAAGAGACAAACAGTCCAGGTGAATGCATGGTGGAACTTCTTGAACATTTCTAGTAAAGACACATTAAAGAAACAATAGTTCAAAAACCACTATGTGTGTGTATATCATGTTGGGAGTGTGTGTGTGTGTGTGTTGTGGGGGGTGTCCCATTTTGAAAAAAATAAAATAAGAGGAACAAACTAGGGCAGGGCCAGCTCCACAGAGGAGTTGCTGGTGGCAGGTGAGTGTGTTTCAGGTCTGCTGTCTATTGCCTTTTATGTAAGACAGTTGCAAGTGCTCACACTATATTTACAGCACAAAGCAAATGTTACAATAAGCATGTACAGAACAATGACAATTTAAATAAAAAACCTAAATGAATGAGGATGAGAGTGCCCCGTCCACAGGACCTTTTAGTCTCCCAGTAATAATGCGATAGAATTTTTTTGGACTACCAAAGGTTGTGGTTTTAAAATTTTATTCTAACAGGTTATAAATAATTTGTGTTGCTTTTCAATAAAGGTTTTAAACATTTTGAGGGCTGCATGGGGAAAATGCCAGGACACTGCGCCATAAGAACTTTTCGAGTGAAAGAAACTGGTTTATATAGCTCACTCTGAAATGAAACATTATGTTCACAACTTATAGAAACAATAAAAAAGAAAAGAAAGTGCCTGAGGAATTTATTAAAAGGATGTAGTGAATGTAGAAAAGGGCATTTCAGAATTTCTAGATTTATCTTTCCTTTCCTTTTGTGCTTAAGTGGTGCCTTCTTCCTCCTATGTTGCTAAAATAACAAACAGCATACTGAATTTTGAAAACGTGTAAAACTGTGGGATCATTTTTAAGGTTAAAAAAAAATTCTTCAGTATTATACGCTATTTTGTGTATGCGCGCGCGTGTATGAGTGTGTGTGAGCCTGTCATTATTCACATTGCGGGGACCCAAACCCCAGGGTGAAGTTTTAGGGTTAGGTGTTAGGCCAGTGGCGGCTAAGGTCACTATAAATGACCACATGGAGAAAGTAAGTCAAAGTAAAGTCTCCACGAGGGATGAAAACAGCGTGCGCGTGCGTGGCCATGCACCGTGCCCTCTGACTTTCTGGTGTGTCTAGTTTGCCTCCTGACTTGGCGTGTCTCATCCTGCTCGCCCTCTATGGCTGCCACTGATGGTAAGAATACTCTGTGTTTAGGTGAACTACAGGAAGTGTGTTTCTACTCTATCTGTGCAGGAGTGTGTATCGGCGCAAGTGAAGGGGCGCATCATAGGGACGTAGATGCATGATTATATTTTGACTGTGTGTATTCCATTTGGAATTGGCTAAAAAGCCTGAGTCTGGCGTTAGATCACTAATTGATCCCTGCTCAGCCAATTACTGGCAATAAATCAGTACCAAAGACTACAAATCTTTTGCGTAAGGAGGTGATTTGATCCGAAAAAATAAAGGCTGTTATAAGCCCGAGGCTGGCGCTGCTCACATTTTCCACAAAATAAAACAAACGTATCCAAAAGCTACTAATGTTAAAGGTTATTTTTCATTTTTAAAATATTTATTGGGCCAATGCAAAGTACTTTCACCTGCGTTATGAAATGGGGACAGTCCAGTTAGAAAGAAAGAAAGAAAAAGATTTATTTGACTATTTTTAATGCTGAGGGGGTCATTAAAATGTATCTGAGTTGAAGTAGATGACCACAGACGCAGAGAACTAAAAATGATAATTGAGGTAAATCAAATAACATAGAATATATGGAATAGATGTGTAAATGCACTACTACCTGTATCAGTAAAGTTTACATTATAGAATCGCGCATACTCGCGCGCATGTGTGAGTGAGTGTGCTGCAATATGCTCCTGTTATACTGCGATCCAACCGACATACCTTGCGCGCTGCCTTTGCACTCCGTGGGATCATGGGGAGTCTGCTCTCACATGCAGTTGCATCACCTCGCTTGATTTCCTTGTTCTTCGTTCGCTTTTAAAGTCCATCATTAAAGGGATTAAACAGCTGAGATTTTGGAGAGATAGCACTGGAAGGTTTGAGGCGATGTTTCCCGGACTCCTCGCTTGATTGGATCGGGGAAAGATGATGTCAGACCACCGCATGCGCCCCGGATTGGAGAAAACGGCGTAAACAAAGCCGCGAGGAGGAGGAGAAGAGGTCTCCACATCTCCAGACAGTCCGACCGAGATACCAAATCCGAGTTTACGCACAGGAGAGGGCGGCCCCGGTGGCGCGTACTCGTCTGCTAAAGGCTGAAAGTTACACTGACAGTCCCACATTAATGGGTGACGCGCTAAAAGAATTTTGGGAAAGCACATGGGAAACTTACCACCGTCTTTTAAGTCCGAACGCTGGGCAGTTTTCTCGTTTGAGCAGAGACCGCCTCATTCAGTGCGCAGTTGCTCCTTAATAAGTGTCGAAGGAGTCACTCGCCTGTGTTCTGCTGTGTTATTGTGGTTTTTTTGCGCAAATGCAATTTTGACAAATTAAATTAGTGACGTCGAACCATAGAACACAAACACCGGCTGTGCAACCCGGCACTTTCAAGACAGTGTGAGTCGAGCTTCACATTTAGAGCATGGTCCGATAACCGGAAGACAGACAGAGCCAGAAAGTTCGACACAGACAACTAAAAAGACATCTGGGTCACTCTGAGGTGTGTTTGGGAACATCTGCCTCCTACGTCCAGGCGTCCCGCCGAGCGGTGCGGAGTCTCCAGCTCAGGCCGGCAGCGCTGACATGCTGCCCAAAGTCGAGACTGAATCCCTTGGATTCTCTCGATCATATGGGGAACAGGGGCACATGCCAAGGAACATGCAAGGTAAGAACTCTCATTCATTTAAACATCAGACTACACCATTCATAAGCTTTCACTGCAAGAACTTTAGGGAGGGCTATCGGACCGGACCTTGGTACGTACCCCAATTTAAAACTTCGGAATACTCCTATCCTCCACAAGTTTACAGACAATGTAGGCCAGTAACTGGTGACTGTCAACATAGGATATTATTGTATGAGGAGCATGCTAAATTATAACACGTGTAGACTGTGTCGTTCATTGTTTTACAGAGAATTTATCTGGAATGTGTTCATTGCGGTTTAAAACAGGTTTCTGCTATTTTCTCCCAATCCTTAGGCTACTGTGAATATAATAATCACCATGTAGTTCCGACCTGGACTCACGTTTTAAAGGTCTGGCCCATGGTCACATAACGATTATAGCCAGCTGTCATGAAACTCGTGCTGGATGTGTGCGGCCGCCTGGTGCGTAAAGACTGGGGCAGCGCAGAACAGCTCTGTGCACACATTTGTCACTTGTGTCGTTTTATAATGAACCAAGTTTTTTAGTCTCATCACTGTAACTAATATTCAGAATTGATTCATGGTTTTGTCAGTATAAAAGTAGTTGAGACAGTCATCAATTTGTCAAAAAAAAAAACTAAAAAGTGCAGCTCTTAACTCTAGACATGGATTTAGCGATTTGTCCCGTATCCCAAACTCTCTGATCCCGGGGGCGATTAAACTGTAGTGTAATACTTCTGGTCTAATTTATAAACATTGTAAAATGATTTCAATTATGTGACAAATGAATTCATACTTTATTTTACTTTATTAGCAGATGTCTGTTTTGTAATTTGTCACCGGCCTGTTATGGATGAAATGATAAATTGATGCAATTTCAATATCAAGCTGAAATAAACAGGGGCACTAAATATTTATTTTATCTTATGCTATAATATATTTCTGTCATTTTTTACGTCTCGCTAATTATATCAAAGCCAGAGTGGCTTAAGATTTTCAAATCTACCAAATTAGGTTTTTGATTCCAAAAATGTGCAGCTTTGTCAGAAAAACAATTTGCACTTTTACATTTTCACACTGGCTCCCCATGTCATACACTGAACTAGTATTTCTTGATATATTTCTGCTATATACACACAAAGCAGTGAGAAGCTGAAGAGAGGCCGGCTCTTCTGTCAAAATAATGTCCCGTCTGCCCTAATCGCCCTCGTGTCACCCCACAGCTTTATATACGCACAATCAATTAGCCCAGTCTTGGTTTATGGCGCGCTGGTGTGTATACTCACAAGATGAGGAGTGGCTTGTTAGAGAGGCCGTTATCTGTTTTTACAGAGGGACTGAAGGAGTGCTTCTCTGAGAATCGTCAGCGGGTTTGATAAATGCTGTAGCTTTCTGGGAATTGCATGAGCAAGTGGCACGGAAGTGTGAGTCCGCAGGTGAGAGACGGCGCTGACCGGTGTGTTTCTGCATCTTCTAAAGCACTGTCATTTACGCACACGTGAAGAGGGGATTCAGGGAGGTTCAACCACACTCTGATTACCCACATCTTTATCTTAAAAAATAGCTGTTCAGCTTCTTATGTTATAAAAATCCTTAAAATGTGAACCATTGGTTCACATAGAGTATGGCAGCAGCATACTGCTCCATTTTAAGGAGGGAAATGTCTGACAAAACCCTGAAACATAAGCTTTTTTCTTAAAATGCTTTTTGTTTATAGCGTTAGGACAATTTCCAACTTGAGGTTCTATTTTATTTTTAGCTACCAGGGCCTCTTCCATTCATAACGACAACCAAATGTCGAAATTATTTCCTTTATAAAAACGTGTCTAAATTTGCAGCTGCCGTGCGTCATAAGAGCAGGCCTTAAATCCTCTTTTTCATTCGCTTTAAAGGAGAAGAAAGTTTGGAAATGGACCTTGCTTTATGCTTCTGTGGGGAAAAAAGAAATAATAAATAATAAAAAAAAACGACAGCTGAGTGGAACTTGTTGCTTCAGCTCGAATGCAGCGCGGATCCCAGCAGGGCAACGCGTTAACAAATCAGAAATCATGTCTAATTAAAAGCGAGGACATGAGTGATTTTTGAAGTAGGTCTTGGAAGCGTCTAGTTGACACAATATTTCCAGTTTTACAGCCGCACTCACTAAAGTTTTCGTGTTTGATCTTGGCTGCTTTTTTATGATTAGAACCATAAATGCGTATGTGACTGCTGTAAATGTCAGCCTGGCTGTCCGCTTGGCGATGCCACACATAGTCTTATCACTGCAAGTATTTCTAATACGCAAGGCGAAGGGGGACTGCAACATATAGGCCACACCGCTAGAATCGTTTAGTATACTGTGTTAAATCTTAATCCAAGTATAAGTGTGAAAATATCTGCACACATGGTCAAATTGCACTCATTTCTATATCCATATTATTTGCAACAATTAGTACAGTTTCTGCTTTGTCTTTGTTTACACTTCATTCGGAATAAGTCCGAAATTACTTTGGAAAAAAAACATTTCATCTTATATTTTGTTGAGAACTTTAAGAATGGTGGATTTTTCCAGCGCACGCAAAAAGCCACATATGCTGCTACTAGGTTGCACAAACGACACTAAAGCTATTGGTTTATATCTCGATGTTGGTTGAAGTTGGTTTTGGATGCTTCTCTCCTCGCCCGCAGAGATAAGGGCTTCTCTGCGTGTCTTCATTTGTCTGTGGGCGGCACCATTTCTCCTCCAATCCTTAACCCTAATATCTCTCCATTCCCCCCCAGCGATTTCATGACTTAGATGCATGCATATTTATTAGTTTCACTTTCATACGCGTTGTTAACATTATTTTTGGCTCCTGTCTACAACGGATGTAATGTTAAGAGAGGGCGGTAAAGGGGGAAATAAATGGTTGCGCTCTTTTATGTCAATTCCAAATCGAGCATCCATCACTTTCCCACTCAAATTAAATATCCAAAAGTCCAACTGAACTTTATAAAAAAAAAAAAACCTCATTAAGTTGCTTCGGAATCCCCGTGGTTGATCCTGATGGATCAAAATGGGCTTTTGCAAAAGAGATTGCTCAGCACTGCTATAGACTTTTCTCTGTGTGTCCCTGTCTCCTCCACAGCGCCCCAGTTAAAAATGATGGACTACTCTTATGACGAAGACCTGGACGAGATGTGTCCCGTATGTGGAGACAAGGTTTCTGGGTATCACTACGGACTCCTGACCTGTGAGAGCTGCAAGGTTCGTGTCCTCAACACTAAAAACACAGCGCTATTTACAAAAACCTTCCTGTAGTGACAAAGTGTGTGTGTGTGTGACATTGTGTAAATGTGGTGATCGTTCCATAGGTAAAATATTCCTAATGTCGAGAATTGTTTGGACAGCGAGGTCACACTGAATTATAGTTGCCTAATGGCATTAATACCAAGTTTGTGTAACCCATCGTAGCCTGTCAGTATTGGGTGTACAGTGGCTTGAGAGTGGTTTAAGAAGTGCGTTTACAGTAGTGAACCTGGAGTATATGTGCTCTTTGGTATGTTTTATTTACTGTATCTGTACTATTCTTGAGTATTGCAGACAGTCATATACTGTATTCGCATTATGCCATTTTAAAATAGATTCCACGTAGTAATATGCTGACTCCTGTATTTCTCTGTGGCTGCCTTATGTCTGTTTCATGTGTAGAGATGCATTTTGTGCAGTGACATTTGTGCACACAAGGCACTTAGATGACGTTTTTGTTCAGAGTGACTCCTAACACATGTAACAGTAAAGATTAAGTTCCTCATCTGTAACTTTACAGGAAAACCAACAGTCAAGAGGCAGAGGGGTCAAATATTGTTATGACAGTTGATCTAATAAACCGTTTCTGTGTGTGTTCTGTGGTGAACGGCTTGTAAATGAAACAGGAGCTCAAAGCATGCAATAGACCACTAAACGCAGGAGGCGGAGAGGGGAGGAGGCACATTTAACCGAGGAAGTAAAGTACACAGGGAAGTGTTTGTACAAACCTGTGTCCTGTTGTCTAAAACTGTCATCGCAAGTCCATTAAAAGTGCAGCAACATTAGCAGGTTGCTGTTTCCATACACAGCTTAATAATGAGGCTACTGCAAAGCAAACTGTTGCTTTTATTACTATGAACTCTATCAACAACGTATTTGTCCTTTTCTGCCTATTTCCACTGCTGCCCTCAACACAAAGCTAATAGGCATTGCCCAAGGTTTTTTTTTTAGTCCAGTGAAGCTGTCAGCACAAAATTAACCTAAGACAAATGTCTCTGTGTTGACACTATTCGGTGTAAAATTGCAGCTCACACTATTGATGTGGCAGTGCACATTTCTTGCCTATGTGGTCATTATTCAAAGCAGATGTTATAGATTATATTCCATATTGTGGCCTTGAGATGCTAAGCACTTGCTTGAAGGGAGATGTCAGTGGCATCTCTGCTGCTTTTCAGCCTCAGCACAGGCCGATCCACGAGCGCGTTTCCCAGTTTCACTGAAACACCGGTGTGTGTGTGTGTGCAGGATATAGATGAAGAGGTGTGTATCCTTGTTGAAACATTAATAATATTGATAATTACCTGAAGCTTGTCATTGATTATCTCTACAATGCTGGCACTCTATTCAGTAAAAGTATGATCGTCAGGGTTGAAATGATACATCAGTTTGTTGGCGTGTTACAGCCTCATATTGGTATTACATATCCACTATCAGCCTGGCAGTGCAATCCATCTTCAGTGTAATGAAGGTTCCTCTCTGACCACAGATGGTAAAAGGTGGGGGGGGGGGGGTGGTGGGCAGTTAAATAGTATGCTTAGTGTTCTTTTTTGTAAAAAAAAAACAACTCGGTGTCAGTTTTTGCAATGTGCTGCCATAGTAAGCTTCATGACATTGTGGTGTATCATTTAATGAGTTTTTAGATGGAGTCCCCCTTTATTTTGCTTGACCCTCTACCTCCTACTTGTACCTCCTCACCCTACCCCTCCTCACCACCCTATGCCCGTTCATCCCAAAAACGCAGCTGTGAATAGAACATGTTTGTTATCGTGGTCATATTTTTTCGAGCTTAGTTTGGGTTGAGGAACAGGCACACAAAAAAGAGAAACACACAAGTAAAGATTCTTTACCCCAGTCACAATCCTACTGCCGCCCCAAACACAGACAGACACATACACGCTTCAAATGTACACAGACACATCCCTCTTTAATCATACACACCACATAAAGTGGCGATGGAACCACATCATACATGCTGGAATAACAGCAAACTGAAACGGGTTGTAAGGTCGTCACTGTACAAGACAGGCTCAGTCCCAGTGTGGGAGACTTAAATACTACAATGCTAAAGTTACGAGCAACTAGTAATGAGGCTACAGGTCAAAGCCACAGTGGACATATCAAAAAATATATTTAAAGTTTACAGAAGTTAAAGGAAAATAAACAAGCAAAGTGTGTTTTTACACTCATTTCAAAGTTAGACAGAACACATACTGCAGCGAGTAAAGCAGGTACAGCAGACAGGGATCAGAGGAGATAAAGTGGTTATGTGAATCATGCAGCATTAGTCCAGCCTCTTTATTGGACTTATGTCTCTATTGACATGTTGTAAAAGTGATTTCCTTGCTATTTTTGTGCAGCAAGCGCATAATTTTAGGATGGAATTCCAAGGTCAGGAATACCCAATTACTCATATAATTTATCAAATTCAACTTGGAAATATGTGTTGGAGTTGGTTTACAGTATAAGGTTTGAGATTAGTATGATGATTTCAAGTTATTTTGTCACACTTTTTCGGTAAAATGATCTTCATTATTTCTAATGGCAGCAGAGCCACACAAAAGGTGCTGGCGGCGAACCTTTTGTGCATAAAAACGAGCCCCGAAGAAAGCCTATTGTTGATTTGACCTGCAGGTCAAATGAAAGCTTTTCAGTGAGATGCTGTCTGCTTAATCTTCAGAGGTGACAGTGTGTGGTTCTCCACGTTAGAGTCCAGTTTGTTTCACATATTTATAGCACAGCAGTGTGATCTAAATGAAAAACTGGAGAGAACGTGTTCTCTGATACATGAATTGTTTTTGTTTTTTTTAGCACTGAGAAGTCAATAAGCAGAAACCGAGTGCAGTTCTTTGTGTGTGTGTGTGTGTGTATTTTTAATGACTCAGGCAATGCAGATTATCAATTAAAAGTATGTTTGGAGAGATATTGACAGCAGTAGGCCCTTTATATTTATACTTTTTTTTTTGAAGACCAGGTTTAAGGCTTCTCCTCCCAGGTTATGGATCTAGAATACATTAATACCATCTTTCCTTCATTTGGTTTTCACTGCTGCAGCCAATAATTAATTCCACTGTAATGTCTGTAATCTCGGAACTGTGAATTACCTATATAAATTATTGGATTTTTTTTTTTTTTTTGGACTCCTATACTCATGTTTTTCAATAATTAAGTAGAGAGTTAAAATGATGCCTTTTCCCAATAATGTTAGACTTTTTATGTAAATAATAAATGTTGTATGGACAGGACCCAAATTATATTTTATACCCCTTATAAAATGGCTTAGGATGAAGTGAAAACTGTGAGTAAAGTATGTAGAGAGAATTTATGTTTAGCTCTTTTTTCAAAGCACAATAAAATTAAGGTATCTTGTCTGCAAGTTTATAAATAATTTCCCTGTGACTTATCAAAAATTATTACAAATGCTCTGGTAGTTTCATTTGTAAGAGGTGTGTATCCATGCTCTGCTTTATATTCTGCATGTGTGTGCCCATAAAGCATCATAACATGAATCGGAATATAGCTTTCAGAACTTATGTGTGTGTGTGTTTGTATGTGTGTCCATTAAGTCTGTCCCTCTCCATCTGTCTGGCTGTGTGAATGGACCGATTACCATTGCATTGCAGGGGTCAAGCAGGTTGACATCTTAATTGGTTCTCTCCACAGGGCTTCTTCAAGCGCACCGTCCAGAACAACAAGCGCTACACATGTATAGAGAACCAGAGCTGCCAGATTGACAAGACCCAGAGGAAGCGTTGCCCATACTGCCGCTTCCAGAAGTGCCTCACAGTCGGCATGAAGCTAGAAGGTACAGCAACATGTCTACAGTACTTTTTTCACACTCAGGTGTTTGACTTATGGCAGAATGACTTGGTTGGTGTTTAGTCTCTGTAATTTGGCATCTGTCTCAAAAGTCTTAAACACTGGGTTACGATGGAGAGGTCTAAGGTGTTAGTATAAATTTAGTAGACTGGTAGGTAATGTGTACAGTAGCTGTCAAAAGTTTGTGATTTTTCAAAATAGAAAAGGCACCATTGTTGTAAAAAGGAATAAGTGTTTATTTGTCTTAATAACAAATGATTTCTGGGATTTCGACGTCTTGATAAAGGGCTGTCAAACAGAACAGATGGCTGCTATTAGCACTGAACATGTGACTGTCCAGCAACCAGTGGTGGATCAATTGTTTGCTTGAGTAAAAGTTGCATTACTACAATATTCCAATACAAGTAAAAGTCCCTGCATTGAAAAAGTCTCTTAATTGAAGGTAAGAATTATTAGTAAGAAGGGTTTTTTTGTGTTTAAATGAAAATACTATACAAAGCAGGAAAGTGTATCATGTGAGAAATATACTATTATAAATCATATTATCTGAACATTATTACTGATGCATCAGTGCATGTGTACCATTTTACTGTTGCAGGTTTATTGGGTAGTTTTATCAGTGTATCATATTTTACAATCTGGTCATGTGTCTTGTGTCTAAACTCTTATTTTATAAAGTAAATAAGAACTAAAGTTGCCAGATAGTTATAGTGGAGTAAAAAGTGCAATGTTTTTTTCTGAATTATAATAAAGTAGAAATATACTGTATGAGAGAGTAAGTCAGGAACTACTTAAGTGAAATGCCTCCTATATGTACTTGAAGCATAATGTGAAGAAAAAGTGCCATACTTGAGTAAAACGTTCCGCCGCCACCAGTAATCTATGGAATCTAGGCCAATGAATGTACTTCACAGCCTCCAGTCTGACTTTCACCAGAAGAATTTGAAATTGATATTTTACTCTGGGAGACTATTTATCTTTTTATAGTGCACATAAAGTACAGTTTATTCATGAATAGCTTACCACAGATTTCATCTGTTCTGGGGTTTTATACTAAACCTCACTCACTAAACTATGATCTAGAAGTTACAGTGCACATCTGCAGAAGTGGAAAAGCAGATCCGGGCAGTGTTATTGCATTCTGTGTGCTGCATCATATATTTTTCAAGATATGATGCTTGTTTGCAATAAACAAGCATCATATCATATAATGTTTGTTTGCAATAAACAAGCATCATATCATATAATGTGTTTCTGAAAGTTGGGGAGGAAAAAATTATAACATGGAACAGCCAGAATTGAAGGTTGACTGCTTCCGGACCTCCACAGAGGTCTTTTAAAAACTTGTACTGTACCAAACCTCTGGTGACATGACAGAGGGAGTCTTTTTCCATTAATTCACAATTGAACGCAGTTAATCATGGCACATTAACTTCCCTGGAAAGTCAGAGTGAAAATATTCTTCCCTGTTCAAGTTGCATGTGAATGGCTTTCTTGTAATTCATCCACCATTAAAAAAAAGTGAATGCCCGCTCTGACAAGCTGATTGCCTGTATGAAAGCAGAAGATGATATTCATTTAATGATTTAACAGTGAACATCTGAGTAATTTCTGTTTTCCATAATGTACAGTAGGTTAACTGTTCTTTTCTACCACAGTGTTGAAATCCAGTCTTGCTTATTGGTATTTGAAACAGGGTCGCAGGGGAGTCGAGGGTATCTGGTAGCTGCTGTGCACTTAAACTTGCCAGACAGAGTAATAGATAAAATATTAAACTTGGCGGCAGCGTGAGAATGGTAATGATGATACTTTTGGCTAGCTGTTTTGAGGGCTCTTTGTTTAATTTGAACACGACTCAGAAGCTTGTTCAAACACGGTTACCCAGAAGTGACAGGACAGCAGGGCGAGGAACATTCTTCCAGTGTTCAAAGATAATATTTAAGATCAACTATTTTTTCCACAAATTAGTTGACAGGTTTTACTGTGAAATTAATAATTCTGGAGAGAATAAAGTAACCTGAAGGTCATCTTTGAATTGATGTAAAATAGAGGACTTAAAAGCTAAAAGTAACAAGTTATTATTTTCTTAATCAGAAGGTTAAGTTGCAATGTTGTCATTTTAAAAATACTGCAAATTATTTTGTGCAGTCTTTATTGCTGTGTATTATTCAAACAATTTTAGTTTAATATTAAAATTAAATGTGTCACATGTGGAATTTTAGCTAAATTAAAATTTCTTAGGCCTCTGAAACATTTATATACAACAGGTTAAATAAATATGAGCCTGAGAGGGTGAAAGTAAAATAAAGACAGTCCAACTAAAACCTTTCCAGAGGCTTCTCGTTTTACCTGCCACATGCAGTGTAATTAATTGCTGTTAATTGTGAACGGCCGCTGGGCAGTATGTGCCAGCCTGTCATTTTCCAGCTGAACTAGGTCAGGCGGGGGTGGCATTTGATTTGTTTTTCTGGTGATAGCTTTCAGCTCGGGGGCAAGCCAGGCCCTGCAGCACTCTGTCTGGGGCCAGGACTCCAGTGGGTGACTCCTGCCACAGCCAGTAAAGACCTCTCATACAAAAAGGCTGACACCCCTCACACACACACACACACACACACACACACACACAATACTCATACAGCTCTCACTGGTAAACACATACATATATTCATGAGCTGCCCAAAAAGGTGTTCAGGAAGCCACAGGCAGGCGGGAGAAGCGGAAGCTGTTATTTGATAGCAGCAAAGGAGAAGATGGTGTTTAGGGTCATGTGCTTTGTTATTGCACTCTTTTTCATTCCATTACACAGCAGCTTGCAGCAACATGTGACTTCAGGATATCAAATCGAAACCAAATGTAAGCAAGAAATGTGTGGCTAACTTTAAAGTTATCTCAAACTTAATTTTTGAGTGTTTACGTTTGCCTTTCTGGTGTTGTTCAGTGTCTTTTTTCACTTGTTGATAAGTTAGCCAACCAATGGGACGGTGTTTATTGTTTGAAGTTTGCTGTGAGTGTTGTAGCGGAGAAGAAATCTGTTTGCCTAAGTGTTAGGATTTTAAAGTTGAGGGGAGTGGCGAAACAAGGTGAAATGGCAGACGGGCACATATCAGAGTAACAAAAACACTATTGTGACATGTCAGTCACGCCATCCCAACACTAGGAGAGCAGTCATATTATCTTGACCTGACACCAAAACAAATACAGTTAAACCTCGGCATGCCCGTCACTGCACAATGCAGAAAAAGAGAGTTTTATAACACTGCAGCAGCTTATCATTTTCTCCTCTGTGTACTTCTGCCACAGGATAAGTGGCCTATCTCTGACCCAGTAACAGTCAAGATATGTTTTCAAAATAAAAATCCCTCCTTCCTGTTGTTATATCAGCTGTGATATTGAAGAACAGCCCAGTGGGCAGAAACACATCACAAGTATAATCCCACCAGTTAATACCATCATCAGCATATCTTGCAGCCTAAAATCACTACAATAAACATTATTTATCATAAAATTATAACATGTAAATTATATTAATGAAATGTAGTAATAGTAATATTTGTCCATTAAAAAAAAAAACTTGTGTAATTGGTTAATTTATCTTGTCAGGTTCAAAGCAGGTGCGTCATTATGTGAGATGAAGTTGAAGAAAAAGAGAGGCACACACACTCTGTCAAACACTGTACACAAATGTGATGGAGCCTACCAGCCACACACTCATTTAACAACATAAACACATGCTATAAAAATCCCTGCTTCTTGGTATGCACTGTGGTATTTCAGCCAGTCTTGACTCATTGAGAAAAAGGGGCGTAAAAAAGCCATATCCCATTAAGGTTTGACCCATTAGCACATCATTCACTGAAGCTGATGAAGCATGCCGACTCTGAATAGCTCCCAGATGTATGATTTTCTTCCTATGCTCACTAGAAGTTGCCTTGAATCAAATACTTCACTGAGCTGCCAAACATTTCCTTCACTTCTGTATCATCTTAAAGACAGAGTGTAACAGTAGTATTTGTGATATTGGGTACTGGAATACACTGTTTCCACTGTGTGCTAGTAAAATAAAAAACCAGGTTATGCTTATGATGTGTTTAAGAATAACTTGTGAAAGTCAAAGTTGATGACAGTCACTACTAGAACAACAGTAATGATTACAACATGTTAACAAACACAAAAAACAACATATAACCTCTGTCAAGTACTGATAAAGCTCTGATTATATTACTGGCTTCTCCACATTTTTTAAAATTGCTGCTCGGTTGGCAGCTGACCAACGAGCACTGTCATGCTTTAAATCAGACATGACAATATATGAAACTAAGACACCTAGATTTTTTTTCTCATTAAATTTAATTGGACCTTTCGCTCTTACTTATAGCACTGAACAGACTCAAATGGGTTTGTTCATGTGTCATTTTTCCCACTGATTTTTTTATTTTAACCACTTTTTTGCATGCAGTTAATCCATCATCAGCTCTTCATTAATTATCAGAAATGTAAAACCGCTGTGAAGCCACAGGAACTGAAATTAGTGCCACATATGGAGTCTTCATACATGTCTCCCTGCATCTCTCTCCTTCTGCTTCCGGTTTTTATTTCCCCCCTGCCTCAATCTTTCTCACTCTGATTTGTCTTCCATCGGCCTCCCAGTACTAGCAGTAGAGCAGGGAGCTGTCCCATTACTTATGCATAGGTATCATAGGTATTCATGTGTGTGCATGGGCTAGGGCACATCCGGAGCAGGGGCTGGGGCTCCAACATGACAAACAGGGTGTCAGCAAGGCTCCGCGGGACCCATTAATATGCTCGCGGCAGACAGGGACCCTCACCTACGTGTGCTTAATATTCCTGTATATTAAACAACCATAAATCAGAGGATATGAGCACTGAGGGCTGTGTGTGTGTGTGTGTGTGTGTGTGTGTCATGTGTGCAGAGACACTGCATGTGTGGGGAATGTGGTGTGCTAGTTTGTGTTCGTACATATTTGAGATGGCATATAGAGTACAAGGGGCACTGGACACTTTTTGAGCACAGGAACTGGGTTTTGTTTGGGCAATTGTAAATGTAGCCTATAGATGTGCATGTGTGTGTGTGTGTGTTCAAATATGTGTGTTTGCGTGGACATGCTCACAGACAGTAAGTCAGGGGAATTTAGCATCAGCCTTTTAGCCTTTCAGCCTCATATTAGCCCCAAAGCCTCCCTGCAAACCCATATCCCCATACTCAGATCCTTTTTGTACTAATAGAATGAAGTTTTTGTCTCATATATTCAAACAGGAAAATAGTTTTTCTTACTTGAGATGGTTTTTTTCACATATTAGTTTTCATTCATGTCTTAGTTTTCTTAGCTTTTTGGCTTCGATCTGTGTTAAGTGCTAATTGCTGCATTTTCCAGACAACTCCTGTCCATCAAAGTGCAGCTCCATAATCTTTCTTCCTGAATTTTCTGTTGATGCTGGTTACGTTTCTACGAGCACCTGTCTTTCTTGTTTGCCTTGTTTATATCACACAAACTACAACATTTCAGTTTCTTGGCATCACAGAAAAGAACTAACAGTGAGTTTAGGTTTATCCTACACACTCTACAAGATTTTATGCAAGACAAATTCAATCACTACTGTGTTTTATTACATATACAGTAAGACATTTTTGCATAAAAAACATTTACAGTATACAAGGTCATATGATAACTTGTCATCATAAGTTCAATCCCTGTAGCAGAATCCAGCCCAACTCCCCACCTCACACACGTACAGTCCTCCCCCTTCTCTTCCCCTCTCCCATCCACATTAATCCACGTTACATGCATGCAAATAACCCTGTTTAATTAGAGACAAAGAATCTGTGTACGTGTGTGTGTGTGTTTGTGTCTGTATGTGTGTGTGATGGTGAGACCTACACTCGCCCAATCCTGATATTCATGATGCGATGTGGGTCCCTGGGTCCAAGGCAGGCAAGAAGGCAGTCAGGGCCTAATTTTATTTTCCCAGTAGGACCAACTATTAGTTTCTCAGCTCATTAATTACGCTGTTGTGCAGGAATCATTAATAGTTAAAGTTGCCCTACAATAATGTATAATAGATACATATCACGAGGCTCCTGGATTCTTCTTCTTCTTTTTTCTCCTTTGATGTGTGATCAATTTTTTAACGGTCGTGATCATCCCTGAGCCCGGTTGAGTGGGCAGTGGAGTTGACCTCAAGCATGTTGGGAAATGGTAGTGTGTGTGTGTGTGTGTGTGTGTGTGCGAATATGTGTATAAATTACATACCATCTGAGCTGTCGGGGATCTTCAAGGTGGCAGAGTGTCTGGCCCATTCCCATCTGTCTTTGTGATCAGAACCAGTGTGTGTGTGTGTGTGTTTTATGTAAGCATGTGTGAGAGAGAGTCAGCATGTGGGCGTGAGCGCGTGAGAGAGTGTGTGCTTGTTTGTAAGTGTGTGTATCTCCCTCTCGGCTCCTCCAGCTCAGATCAGTGACAGACCCTTTTGTGACGGAGGTCATTAAAATCACTCCCAAGGCAGATGTGGGTGTCTAGCCCTCCTCACCCCCCAATTCCGTTCCCCCAGCCCGCCCTCTCCACACCCCCTCTTCAATTTTCTTCTTATGTTCTTTCATTCACCCGTCAAGACATCATGAGCTGGAGTGTACCTAGACTGACTTGCCATGTTATCTGACTATTTAGTGTGTATGAATAAGGCAAATGTATGTGCATTAATTTTTATATACAGTTAAATGTGTAGGCATCTTGTTTTCCTTACAAAGAGGAAGGCAAGAACTTACTAGATACAATAAAAGTAAGTTTATAATATTCTGCAGTGGTTTTTTTTTTTTTTTGCTGCACAGTCTCCCAGATGTCTGTTAGCTCATTGCATGCTGAGTTCGGTGAGTCTCATCAGAGTAAGAGGTAATTAAGTATGAATAATTAACACCAGTGCCCCCCGACTGAGAGACTGCAGTGCAGCTTTCCCATGGCAGCAGTCGGTCAGATCGCACATTGCCCTCATAGCGGTCCACTGTGTCTGCGCCTGGCTTGTTCAATTAAAATACCCATGGCACAGACTCATTGCGAGGATTCACCACGGGATCTGGCGCTGAGTGGGAGGGCAGGGGGAATGAAGGGTATATTTGGTTGATCATAAAAAATACATATAATAAAAAATAAAACTATTTGTACAATGGGCTTTTCCAAAGAAAAAGCTTTCAGATAATGGACAGTGATATTTTAAGGGCATTTAGAATTTGCAAAATCAAACAACATAATAAACCATGGATTTTGGAAACAGAACTTGAGGTGTGTATTTCCTGAGTGGTAGACAGAGATGGCCAGATGTCCAATGATCCTTTAGCAGAGCGATTCATTGAAGTTTAGGTCTCTGGTCAATGAGTAACAGCACTATCTGTTATACCTGTGGGGATTACAAGTGAACAGGTAAATAACAAGTGTAATCATCATACAAGAAAACCTTTGCCCTTCATACAAGTTACAACTGAGGGGTTTACTCCCATAACACCAAGATAATATATATAAATATGCAGTAGCCTACATGGACAAATCTTATAGCCTCCCTAAAATGTGTGGATTGATTTGACTATGAGCTGGTTTCAACCAAAATTAGTCCCCTGCTATCCTCAGCTCTATATTATAAACCTTTTTGTTTGTATATTTGATGGGTTTATAAAAGAAATAGTGCTTATATTGCTTAATTTAAGTGTGAGCATGTCAAAAGTTGGTACTGTAAGTATTGTACACAGTGATTTGTTCTTGCTTGAACCCTGTCAAAAATGAGAAACATGGCACTGAGCTAAATGTGTCTTCTTCCTTTCCTGTCAACTTTTTTCACCTCTCTTCCCACATGTGTGTCAGCTGTGAGAGCAGATCGCATGCGTGGTGGTCGCAACAAGTTCGGCCCAATGTACAAACGTGATCGGGCCCTCAAGCAGCAAAAGAAAGCACTGATCCGAGCTAATGGCCTGAAGATCGAGGCCATGAGCCAGGTGATGCAGGCCGTGCCTACCGACCTCACCATCTCCTCTGCCATCCAGAACATCCACTCAGCTGCATCGAAGGGCCTTCCGTTGAGCCACCACTCCAGCCACCACAGCGGTCACCACCACCACCATCATCATGCCACTGCCCTGCCCCCCACAGACTATGACCGCAGCCCATTTGTCACTTCACCGGTCAGCATGGCAATGCCACCGCACGCTGGCAGCCTGCAGGGCTATCAGGCAGCCTACGGACACTTTCAGGGCACACGCACCATTAAGTCTGAATACCCAGACCCGTACACCAGCTCACCAGAGTCCATCATGGGCTACGCTTATGTAGACGCCTACCAGTCAGGTTCACCGCCCAGCTTCCCCCACCTGATTGTAGAGCTACTTAAGTGTGAGCCAGATGAGCCGCAGGTTCAGACCAAGATCCTGGCCTACCTGCAGCAGGAGCAGGCCAGCCGTGGTAAACACGAGAAGCTCAACACCTTCGGCCTCATGTGCAAAATGGCTGATCAGACACTCTTCTCCATTGTGGAGTGGGCACGCAGCAGCATCTTCTTCCGTGAACTAAAGGTAGGTGTGCACGGTTCATGTATGAGCTTGCTTTTGTTTGAATGTTAGTAAAGATTCTATATATTTTATAACCATGGATTTGATCATCATTCCTATAGGTTATGAGACCTTTTATTTAAGCTTTAATTCTGTTTGCAAAAGCTCTGCAGGCCGTTCATTATTTTATTTCAGTTGTAAATCTTTCACTGTCATCTGTAATTGACGGTATTATACACAGTTCAGGAACATCACCTGTTCAGGCCTTTATCGCCTACCTTTACTGACTCAACACTAACTCGGACCGCACAGCGCTGTCTGTTCCTCTGCCTGATCAAAATTCAGCAGCCGGCCGCATTCACCCTATGTGTCATACATATTGGCTATGGGTTGTGAACATTTTGACAATGGGCTTCAGGCACTTTCATGCTAACAGGGTCCTATTCTCTGAGGATTCTATGTGAACTGAATACTCCCCATCTCCCCTTGAAATATTCCTTAGGTATATGTAATCTGCCAAGTCACATATAACAGGAACATGCGAGTCATTTAAACATGTGTCCTATGTATGTTATGTTAATCCCACATGGCCAATATTAACCGTCCACCTATGCCTCACTGTAACAATAATTCTTGCTTATTCATCACAGAGCCCAAGGGAGCCTTTCTGCTTAGTGTTGTGCATTTACAGCTTTATTTGCTCTGAATGATGATTAATAATCAGAGCCACATGAAAGGTGTGTGATTAGTCTGTGCTTCACCTGTTTTTCTTCCCATTGTCTGACCCCTTTATTTGTTTGTTTCACATCACATCACCAAAAAGCTCAGGTGCATATTCAATGGCCTCAGCCTGTTGCAAAATTTTCTTCCACCATTTTGTTTGCATTGGGGAAAATAACAAATGAAAACACGTGTAATATTAAAAACTGGGCCAATTACAACGCAGACAAAGTCCTTGAAAAACACGTTGACATTTAGCATGCATCATGTCCCCACTAATGACATTTTCGAGATCTGTATTTGCATTCAACTGGGGTATGCAGAACACACACACACACACACAGGATCATTGTAGAGTGTGGTCACAGCTAATAGTGATGGTTTGCCCATTAATTTTGAATGATAATTTTTGCTGCACTGTGAAGGCTCTTTATTTCTCACACCCTTATCCTAATTCAATTATCTCACCCACTTGAGTTTGTCACTCCCTGATTTTCCAGTGAATGAACTCTCATTATGTTTGCCTAATGACAACCCATATTAGTGGAACTTAATAGTTATTGTGCTGTGTGCCTGTTACAAAGGTAGAAAATGACCTGGGCTCGGTGCAGAGGAAGCCTCTTCCTGCACCCTGATCCCCCTCCAAAACCTCGCCTGATCCTGTTCCACAGCCCCGTTGCTTTAGATGAGATGAGGTTGTATTTCACTTATGTTAGGGAGATAATTGCACAGAACCCCCCCCTTGCCCTGTTTTCAAAGAGCCATCTAAAGCACAAGGGATGGTTGAAAAAAATGTGCTAGCTGTGGCTTTGATAGTTTTTCCCACACAATTCTCTCTTTCTTGCTTGTTAAGGACTGTTGAGCGGTGATTGGTGTCGGTGGTGAGCAGACTGATCAGTAGTGTCTGATAACTGTAAATTGTTAATATTGTATATGTATTTGGTTTCAAAAGAGGTTTAGTAAGAGGATTTTTTTTCTCCTGAGCTTTGCAGCTTTGATTTGAAACTGGAGCATGTGAGCAGTGTATGTGTGTGTCTGCCATTATATATTTACTACTGCAGTTCAACACCAAATTATGTAGAAAGCTCCACACACAGCCTATGCCCACTCCATTCTGTCTTCCTGTGAATGGGCCTGCCTTTGTGTGTTTATTCATGGGATTAATTGTATGTTACACACACAAAGAATTTGTTTTCGGTACAGAACTGAGGCAGCCATCTGCGGCGCCAACTCACACCAATGGCTCTAACCATCACAGGCAACTTGGGGGTTCAGTGCCTTTCCAAAGGACACTTTGACATGTGGACTGCAGGCACCGTGATTTGAACCTCCAACCCTCCAGTCGGGAGACGACCGCTCTACCCACTGAACCACAGTCACCCCATAGTCGAGCCTAGGACCAGAAAGTTTATCACAGGAGTAGTGTGGCATTTTAGGAAGCTATAAATACACCTTCATCTCACATGCATGCTCACATTAAGACATAGACACAGCTCACACATAACACACAGCCCTTCTCACTATTATTAGCTCTGTAAGAACAAAAGAATTTCTCTGGTAATAGAGCCAAGCTGGGATGGTGTGTGCATGGCATCTGCCAAAAAAGAGCTTAAAGATTTCATTTCCATAAATTGGCATCTGTCATGGGACTCATAAATACAGTATTTAGCCATTAGGTGGACCTTCTTAAGAATACTGTCCGTTCTTTCCCACTGGGGCACCCCCTGTTTGTTCCTGGGAATAAGTCATGAATAAGGCACATAAACATTTATTTATTGTCTTTTTGTTGTGTGGTTGTTTGTTTGTTTGTTTAATGTGTGTGCTATATCTATTCAGACCTTAAAATGAGTTGTTATTCTGGGCCCTGAATATGTTTTCTGACATATCCTTAGTCTTCTAGAACTTCAAATAGTTTTAGATTGTTGTTCCTGTGTAGAGTAAGTCAATAAGTCTTGGCTGAACTTTCCTTTAATTTCCACATGAATATTGCGAAAGGATTTTTAAAAGATTATTTTTAAAAATGGTTTTGCCAGTGCAAATATGACAAGTCTTTACCTTATTACTGAAAAGCTACCTTAAATGGTACTTTTTAATCTAATTTGAAACTGAGAATGTTTTGCAAGAGGTACACTGTATTTTGTAATGACACTGTACCTACATATTTTATAACGTGTGAGTGAGTTCTCTTTCTGAAAATATGCTGCAATGGGTATTTCCAGATTTGTGTTTTCTTTTGTTTTTATATAGTTTCTATAATTTATATATGAACATACTGTATGTATCAGTACTGTGTGTGTGTGTGTGTGTGTGTGTGTGTGTGTGTGTGTGTGTGTGTGTGTGTGACTCATACTGTGCAGGCAACAGATGTCAGTGCAGGGGGAAAGGCTTTCTCCAAACTGTACAGCCCCCCCAAGACACATTAGTTACTAACGCAGCAAGAAGAGAGTTTGTAGGGGGTGAAAAGGGGGAAGGGAGGCAAAGAGAGATGGTAGAGGGGGGAAAAGAGAGGACAGAAAACCATTAGAAAGGGCAGAGGAGATGAAAAAGTTGAGGTATATAGGAGGGGAATTAAGAAAAAAAAGGAGGTTTTAGGGAGCCAAGAGAGGAAGTTCAAAGCATGAGGTGAAAGGAGAGTAAAGGGAGAAGGGAAGGAAAGGTGACATTAAAATAGGAGGTCATAGAGGGAGGATGTGGCCTCAAATGTAGGGCAAAGGTCACATGCAGTAGTTAATCCAAAGACCCATGCATGAAGATGCATCTGTCATGGGGCTAAAGGATTTGTCTCAGATAGTGTTTTTTTTTTCAAAAGAGGATTTATAATAAAGTATAATATTTTTTTTTCCTCCACAAAATCAAAAAGCCCAAAATGCAACTGAAATGTGACCTTTACATATACATACATATACCAAAATCTTTGAAAACCAGTTATTACATACTACTAATCTATAACTCTAAATACACTCAAAGAAAAATAATGCTAGTCATATGTGTTTTATATTAAACACACAAACAAACAAACAAAAACATACTTCTCATACATGGCAAATTGCAAAATGACACTTGAACACACCACACAGACTACAGTCAATGGGTGTGTGTGTGTGTGTTGCTGTGACTAATACTGTAGCTGGTCCAGTTCTGTCTGCGTCTCCATTGTTCCAGCTTTGGGATGGCTGGCCTGACTCCCACCACGAACACAATGGAAAGGAGAATTTAGCAGAGCAATTGGAACTATTGATGATTCATATGTTTATATCTCACCTTCCTAACTCTACTCCCTTATCACCACAGCCACCACACCCTCTTCCTCTCTGCGCCCTTTAATAAAAAGCATTCGTATATGGCGTCGAGACAGCAAGCACTTTTGTGTACCTTGTCAACACAAAACATACACAGGATTAAAAAAAAATAATGGAAAATACCACGTCAGAAAATACTTTAAAGTGTCCAGGGTATTAAGGCTGCTTCAGTTTAGCCATATCGCAGTAAAGAGAAATATGTCTTCTCATAATGTATCATTAATATTCAATATCCCGTGTTATTTTCAGATAAATGCATTTGTTGATATATCCTCTTTAACCTTACCCTCTGTGAAATGTTCTATTACTGCTTGAGATTTCTTACATTTCCCTGAATGTCTTTCAAAAAAAAGAGATATGACCTTGCTGGATTAAATCAGTATCTATATATCATTATTGTGTTCATTTGTCACACAAACAGCAAGATGTTAAACAGTCTGGCCATCTCATGCCAACACATAAAACAGGAACAGTGTTTGCAAGTTGTAGTTCTTTGGCAGGAACACTAGAATGGAAGAGTTGCATGCATCTACAAATCAATCACAACAGTACTAAGAGGGTTTTAGGCATGTCTATTATTTTGTCTAAATCTTAAATCTTAACAACAACAACAACAACAGTACAGTTGTGTGTGACTTCAAACTAGAGGTGGCTACGTGCCGAAGGTGGGCTTTATTTTTAAGATGGCATTATCGTTTCAAAACTGTCTTGAGTTAAATGCTGTGTAACTTTATCCATATATTTAGTCTGTCCACCTGATAAAAGTGGAGCAGGGAGGAAAATAACCATGACGTTTTGAAATGTGGCTTTGCTGTTTATTTTAGTCATCTAGGGACAGTTTTTTAGGGGAACCCAGGCAGGTGTTTTGTGCTTCTATCTCTTTTTCTTTTTTCTCTTTTGTCTTTCTGCATGTAACAAGAATGGCAAAAGCAGAGCTCAGGGCCATTAAGTTGAGGAGGAACTGTATTAGAAGTCTTGCTCTCTGGAAAAGCTCCCAGCTGAGAT